AGAAAATATAATTGGAAAATACGGCGTCGTTATGGTTGACGATCCTTTTTTACGACATCTGGCATGAATAGTGCATTTCAAACTGTCTCTTTTATATTGTTTAGGATATATATAAGGGACTTCGTCCTCTGGCATTAGGTAATAATGAATAACAGAAAAATATTTTTTGGTTAAACCATCAGACCAAATGGCTCCGCCTTTTATGTTTAATAGTTTTCAATATCCACATAGAGATTGCTACAGAATCTTAGGAGATATAACACTAAACCAAGTCTGTTTAAGCAAGCAAAAATTTATATGAAACAAAAACATTGCTAATGAACTTGAGCACGGGACATTATATAATTCATTTCCAACGTTATAGATATAGACACGAATATGACAAATATAGAGAAGGTAATATGTATATGTAACAAAAATACGCCAGCAGTATTAACAATGCGATGATTCTTGTCATTAATCCAGATTGAAAATCAGAGCAGAAAAATTATAACTTCAATTTGAATAGTAATCGTAAATCAAGAACGCTGCTCTATAATCATAACATTAATCAACAACAATGAGAACACAGCTAACAAAGTCCAGCAGCAAAACAGTAAATTTAAACGTGTAATAAGCATACTCATCCTCAAAACGAAATAAAGATCAAAACGGAAGGCATAAAGCTGATTTCGGTTACCAGTTCGCCGGAACTCTTCTTCGGCGGCCTGTCTCTCAATAGCCTCGGCCTTCTTCTTCGCAGCCTTTGCGGATTTTCTCTCATTTGCGATTCTCAGTGCCTCTTTTTTGTCCGCGTCTTTGCGCAATTTCTCGAGCCTCTGCGATTCCAATTCTTTGATGTAATCCTTCCGGATTTCCTTGACTTTCCGGGCGTAGTCTCTTCGGAGAAAGGAGAGCTGAGCTTCGAATCGCGAGGAGTCTTCCAGGAGTTAATGAAGGTGCTGGGTTTAAGGAAATCGTGGTCGCCGGAATGTTTATTCACATTGGCAGCTGAAGATGGGGAGGGTTTGGGCGTGGAGGACAGTTGGCGGAGGAGGTGGCGGGAGAGCGACATATTGACCGGCGGAGGTGCTGGAGTTTTGAGGAGGTTTACTTGCATCAGTTGCATGTGCATGTGCAACATTTGGCTCTATTTCAACCCCATTTTTTATGAAAATAAGTTTTACAATAATAATTTTTTAAAGGATGGGTGATTAAAAAAGAAAAAAAAATTATATTTAAAATTATTTTATTAAAAATATGTAAAGTTAAAAATAAGTTTGGAAAAATTAATTTACTTTTTAAGATTTTTGTTTATATAATTTTATTTTTAGTAAATTTGAAACTATTACTGAATAATATTTTTCTATCTTTATTTTTTTCTTTCCTAGTTTGTTAAGATTTTTCATTTATATGCTAACATTTTTTTTTTTATGTAAAATAGATATTATGCCCTCGTTTGAGCCTTTTTTTGAGTCAAAATGTATTTAAAATAATATTTTATTGAAGAACGTACGATTAAAAAATAAGAAAAAATTTTAAATTCACATGTAAAATTATTTTATTGGAGAATATGTAATTAAAAATGAATTTTGAAAAAACGAGTCTTGGAAAAATGGGAGCCAAACATAGGCTATATTATTTTATTTTCTTACTAATCCAGAAAAAAAAAGGAATTTGATATATAAAATTAAAAATTAAAAAAAGCCAGAACAGTATTCATTTTTGGCAAGGGAGAATAGGAATAACTGTGTTGGGCATTTCAAGCAGACTTGACAACAACGGCATTTCAAGCATTTCAAATCTACCAATCACAAGCTGTGGGAAACTTCCGTTCAATGTATGTGAATGAAAACCTATAAACTAAAACGTATTCAATTTACACGACCAGATTTATTAGCCCCATGTGTCGAATCTCAAGAACTTCATATCCCAGATAATGCTACGCTACCAAACATTTCATATCTTCTCGTAATATTCTCAAGAACGTAACTGAAACTTGTGATACAGGAGAAGATACCATGTCTTCAGATGAATTGCTTCAGAAACTCTGTAGCAACCAGCCTCCCTCTTGTGTTCACGGATAATTTTAATTCACTTATCTCTTTATCAATATCCTGCCATTCAAAGAAAGAAAGGAGATGATTAGAGGGACCAAGATTCAATTACCTACTCAACAATATTATGCCAACAAAAGAGAAATGAGATCCTACTGAACCAAATAAAAGCCTATATATACTTCAAGATACGAGGGTTCAAGATCGGAGGATCACACCTCCTGGATACTACTTATTCACACAACTCAGATGAATTCAAAAAGCACTTTCGAATAATTGGTTTAGTTAGGTGATCGGAGGGCTTTAGGGCTATTATAGATAGTCAGTCAGTCATATGTCACTTCGAAGGATATTATCAAATTAAAATTTCAATACCTTTTGAGCATCCTGTTAAAGGAAATAGCAATGCAACTTTTAACAAAAAGCTTGCATGATGAAAACAAGAAGTAAGAGATCATAGAATACTTGATGCTCTGCGAAGGTAAAAAAGACCGGTATCATGTTTGGTAGACAGTTTTCTTGCTATCTCCAAATTAACTAGGATATTTAATCGAAAAAAAAAANCCGGTATCATGTTTGGTAGACAGTTTTCTTGCTAACTCCAAATTAACTAGGAAATTTAATCGAAAAAAAAAAAAGGAAAAAACCTTGCAACAAAGACAGGTAAAAAGAGTTCCAAGTCATCGACTTAATGAGGGAATGGTATCTACTAAACAGTAAATGTACTGATCCTTAGTGTTCAATAATTATCATAACTTGTACCAGCTTTCTCTACCCAATTTTAAGGCAATGAAATGATTGTCCTCAAGGTGACAATCATGATTCGTCCAGTGAAGATACCTCATGATAGGTATTTAGCTTCGTTACATAAAGGGAAACTTGAGGCTCCATATTACCATCTTCTTACTTTTCAATTTCTTTATTGCTCATATTTTGTTAAATATGCATCGAAAAAAGAATCACTATCCAAGCATATTTGCAAATTAGAGAGGTAATTGCACCAAGCTTACCTCCATGAACTGCACAATAAAATCTATAAGTTTCTGCTTCTGCATCTCTTCACAGTGATAATTAGTTATGAGAAAACTTATGTCATAACCCTGAAAAAATTACACCATTGAAAAGTGTAAAATTTATGCTTTCTTNNNNAAAAGTGTAAAATTTATGCTTTCTTAAAAGTGTGATGGTGATGAATACTATAATCAAAACAAATTAGAAAATTATAGCGTTCTTAAAAATTCAGATCAACACTTTATGATATTACAATTCTTTATATGGTACATATTGGATATGATATGAATATAACTGATTATCTTAATGACATTCCAACGTCTTGCGGACATACACCGGAAGTGATGATTGAGCCAGACAAAGATCCTAGATTTGAGGTTGGACAGCAACAGGTTGGAGCAGCATCTGTTAGGGAGGGAACTTCACATATTTTGAAGAATTTTGATGCATGCGTGTCTGATTTTCTCAAGGAGAAATGCAATTTCTTTTTTAAAAAACTACAATACTTCAAAACTCAGCCGGATGTGGATGCACCTTCCCACCTAAAGATCCAATACCTAGTTTCAACAATTCATTTAAAAAGAAGTATGACTAATGGCTACTAGTTCAAAGTGTAAGCACCATGGCTGCTCTCATTTTTAAGGACGCCGAAAAAGATAATCACTCCAGGATTCGATAACTTCTAGCATTACATTGAGAGCTAGGAGCATCAATGAAAACAAAGAAGTGAGGAAATGTAGGCAAAGTAATCTCAAGCACAAGATTGAGAAAGACTCCTCATTCAATTTGAACTAATTACCGAATATGCAAAGGAGGAGAGACTCAGAAAAGATGAATACACGATGAATTGTGTTCGAGTATTTACAAAATTTCCACTTTTTACATTCCCATGTTACTTGAGCCCTTTTATAGCAAAATGACGGGAAAACAGAGAAAGGGGGCTCAATATTTTATCCTCTTTAATATAAAGGGTTCTTTTGTAGAGATAACGATAGGTGAAAGTTTAGGGCTAGCATCGAATAAGCCAATTGACACTACAGTCTATTCACAGAAATCAAGATTTGATTTACAAAGGGACCTTCAATCAACACAGTCCTAGAAGCTCCATTCATTCCCACTTCTATTACTAAGAGCCCATAATTCTACTTTAAGAGGACATAGGTTATCCCTCACTCTAAAGGGGCAGCTTGATGCAGCTATCCTGCTCCTTTGAGAGAATTGGAAAGGAATTAATGTGGTTCACTACTATTTCTTTGGACAAATAGTCAAGGATAGCTTCTTCCGATGTGATTCTAAAAGCAATTAAGTTAAATAATTATAAACTACTAGCACGCTAAAGGATTTCAAACTACATACAAAAGAAATTAAGCTCCAATTTTCTACAAATAACCAACGAGGACATATCGACCATAAAAGAATGTTAAAGCGTAGTGATGGCCATACAATAGTGAAACATAATCTGAAACAACCAAACCTTTTGATGACATGGTGATATCAATGCTGTTTTCGATCAAAAACATAATTTATGCAAGCCATTATTTAGATCGTATTTATTGATCTAGGCATCTCTCATTTTCATTTTGCTACATAATACAACCTATAATGCTAATTGTCATTTGTCTGAATTAAAGGATAGGGAAGAGTAAACAATGTGCACTTGATACAAAGTTTAGTCCGGTATGAAATTTGAATCTTAAACCATGAAGATTCTACAATGTAACATCTGCTTTTCATGTCAGTGTACTTTCTTCTTTCACAAGATATGAATTAGGCCATACATTCCGTAACAATTCCTATTACCTCTGTGTTTTTTATTTCTAAAGTATGAAATGAAGTCAGAAAATCATCAGCCTGAAACAAAAAGAAAAAAAATATGTACCTGTACTGGCTTTCTCCTTAACACTTGAAATG